GGTTTTGAACGACTTTTCGCTAAGGGCGGGGAGACGGGGGTGGCACCCCTGTAACCTCTTCCGCTGTATCTGTTCTTAAAGCCAAAATAGATGTCACGTGCAGTTCCTCGAGTGGCCGCTGCGGGAGGAATGTTGGCGTTGTGTTCGTCATTAGCTCGGTGCTCGGAGACAGATTGGGGCCACTTTTTCAAAGCTGTCTCTATGGGAATTTCCCAATTGAGTGTTTTAGTAACGCTGGCAGCTGGGGATGGTTGCACTATCTTTCCACGGGCGCGGTGCCGTCGGGGCGGAGATGCGGTCCGATAACAAACCGAAACTTAAAAACCCGTCGAATTTGTGCGGTTTTCAGAAAGCCGTAAAATGCTTCGCGTGCCTTTTATCGTTCTGCAATTTGTTGATTTAGGGGTTTTCGATGATGCTGAGCAATTTTCTAATTTAAACCATGCCCTTAAACACAATAATAAAAAGTTAATTAGGCAAAATAATTAACAAGTTAATTATCCCCGACTTTAATAATTTTCATGAATGGGCCCCTGGCCCAGGACCACAATGCCAGAAGCCTTTTTTCGTGGCGATGAGTAGTTTTTGGCAGGAGCGATTTGGCCTGCGTTCTCTGAAACACCCTATATATATATATATATATATATATATATATATATATATATATATATATATATATATATATATATATATATAAACGAAATTGTGTAGATGAATGAACCGTACTTAATCCAATGAATTAAAGAATCCAAGTTTCCAGGAACCCACCGAAAGCCAAAAAACGACGGAGCCAGGATTTGAAGGTGAGTGGTTGATGCCCATCTGGAGTTGGGAGTTTCATTCCTCACAAACACTCTATTTCTTGTCTTTGAAGTGGTCCTGTGTCAGGCTTTTGGGAGCGAATCAGGCACGGTACGAGTATATTTGGTTCAAGCTTTTGTAGTGGTGGGCGATGACTCAATAATTTGTAACATTTTTTTTTTCTAAAAGTGTGGTGGCAGAATATTCGGGGATGGGCATTTAGTCGGGATGTTACGGTAAAAATTTCATCAACGTGTCGGGATTCATGTGCCTTGTCTCCATAGTGGGGGGGACAAAGCAGGTTTGAATTTTAAATCTTTGTTGCGTTATGTCCGCGAGGTATATATGTATGACCAAAATATGACACCGCCTTGCTCACACATTAATTGGATATCTTTCGGACACCTTTCTCGCAGTATACGAGACGACAGCTGGGGCTGTAACTTCGTCGTTTCAAGAAGTACGTGAGCGTTTCATATCCTGCTGTATGATTGTGAAAGACGGAAAATCAATTCAAATGAGCATGTGAGTATTTTTTGTTTACTTCGCAGTGAACGACACACTGAACCTTGATTGAAGCTTTTTAACATAGAGTTTGCATATGCAATGTTTATGCATGATTGTGGACGTGTTCATACTGCCCTAATGGATGGCAAGCTTTTGTAAACAATTGGAAACCTGTCTTGCCAATGTAGTTTAGATGTTACTACCTAGCAGCTCTAATCCCTTGCATACACACTGCTCGTTAACCTTTTTCCACAGTTCCTGAATGGAAGTAACAGATCCATGAACAGGAGTCAATTATTTCGGAAATGGTTCTGCAATTCTCAATAGAAAAATTAAGCTACACACCTGAAAATTTCATAACTGAACATGTTTTGAAGTTTTGAACTATGGTGAATGACGTTTAGATGCAGTAGCAGCAGTATTATAAAGAAAGCTTATATACATACCTTGCACGTTACGTCACGCTGCGACGCCCCTCCCCCCGCCCAGTACTACGCGAGCGCCTCCCAAGCCTTCGGTATGGCCCATTTCGCACAGCCGTCTAATTTTTACGTTGTTTGACAGTATCTCGTTTAATTTTTTTGTTTGTTTTGTTTATTACTTTGTGTAGTGTCTAAAGTCACGCGGTCGATAAACGAGTCTATTTAGCGTATTTTTGTGGCTCCCTCGCGGGCAAAAGATGCCTTCGTCGCTAGAGTGGAGTGGCCGCTTTGTGGTGGCTATGTAGACGTGCTCGTTGTTCCCACAAGAGCCAAATATGTGAAAGAGTTTGAACTTCATGCCTTCAATTATCGATAGAGACATTTTCAACAACAATTTGTTACGGTGAAGATCCATATACAAGCTTTGCGTCCATCTAGATATGCATGGAGACATCGTAAAAAAACTGATGTTTTCCGTCAGCGACATGACTCTTTAAGTGATGAAGGCATTCAAATTGCTTGAATCTCATAACTACTTCACCATTGGTGGGGTGAAAGGTGTACGGGTGCGAAGGAGCGCCTGTAAAAATGAGAGAACGGCGGTCGTTGACGCGTTCACGGCCGCGAAAATCGGCGCAGCGAATGCTCCTCTTGTTTACATTGCGATGTTACGCCATCATCCAGGTTACTGGCGCCTCCCAACAAAAATACACAATAGAAAAGATTCTTATATTTGCTGAAGTGGAAGCTACACACCTGTGAGTTGCCGTTTGCTTCCACGTCGGCTCTGCATGCTCATCCTCGTGATTCACACGCTTCTTCGCTTTTTCGACTGCTCAAGCATTTGCTGACAACTGCGCGTAACCACCTTTGGTTGCCTGAAAAACCTCGTGTCGCTAAAGGTGTCCCGGTAGCGAAGGTCTTTTTTCGTCTTATTTTCACCGGCAGAGACGCAAAGGGGAATCGCAGAAGGACGGTCGCCGTACTCGGCCGGCTACGATCACTGTAATGCTTTTAGTTTGGGTGCGCAGCCATGGCACCGGCTAGTCCTGCATACAATTTTGATGACATACGTGCAAGGCATGAATTGTTTTTGGCTGCAATTTGAACTACAATCACATTGATATGATTCAGATGGTCTCACAAAGTGTAGGGATGATGATGCTTTTATGACAATAGTTTAACCATAATAGTACCAAGCTGTGACTTAGGCCTCTCAGTTAATTTTCTGATGTGCAGGCTATCTTGGCACATTTCGAGTGCAAAGTAGGGGTGTGCAAATAGTAATTTTTTCTAACCGAAACGAATATGAATCGAATAGTGATGGGACCGAGTCAAATATGAACCCAATGGTGACAAAACCGAATGCAATAGTTTTTGAGTACTTGGTACACTTTTTGCAAGTGTGCAATCTACTAGAAAGAGGTGGGAATAAATGGCAAAAACAAGAACTGTGCATGTGTGAGTTAGCTGACTACAACAGGGTCTTGGCAACACGCAAACTGCGGAAGCATAGAAATCAAGTGAAGGAAACCACTCGAAAACGGTGTGAGAGAAACCAGAAAACCCACCAACGTCAAAACGCCTAAGTGAGCTCATAGGGCATCACTGATTGCAGACAGTTTTAAAATGAAAATAAAAATTATGTTAGTTTTATTTACATACCTCTCCACAAACTACACGGGGACAAAAGCAATTCGGGCGTGCAATTCAGGGGGTGTGCTATAAGTGTCGTGAGAAAGAGTGCCAGGGGCTTCATTACACGAATAAACGACACCGCTCGAATGAACAGACCGCTACTGCTAGCGGTAACCATCTGTCTCGGACAGCAGGGACACAAACTCTTTGTCGAGTATGCAAACCACCAGAGAGAAGTGACATCTTACAGCACGTATGTGGCAGGCGTGTTGTATATAAGCGTCTACGAGAGAAAATTTGCGGTGCTGAATCGTGCCTATGTTGTTTTCGGCTATTCGAAAACTTCGAAAAATACTCGAAACTTTGAGAAACAAATATTGGACACCAAATCAAATAGCTATTTTATCGCCCTATCCGATTCGGATACCGAATCGAATAGGGCTATCTTCGATTCCTTATTGGAAAATTGCAAATATTCGCACACCGTTAGTGCGCAGTGATTGGAGCGAAATTAGCTTTAGCAGTGCGGTCAAACTCGCATCGCCCATAGGGATTGAATTCGGTATGGGGGAATACTGTTCGTTTTAAAGGCTTTCATCAGTGTCTTATTATGTGCCCATTGCCAAGAAGTATTGTTAACTTAAAGTATAGAAATTACAAATTCACAATGCTTTGATTTCAGTCTATGATCCAAACACTTTAAGAAATATTCTGAAGCATTTCAGCATGTTGTGCTAAATGTTTCAGAATTGGTGCCTACTTTGCACCCACTAACATGGATAAAACCTTTTAATTTATGTTAGTGCTAATGATGTAATGAAAATAAATAGAAGCAAATGTGATTTCTCCAACCAGCTGCAAACACATCGCCCCGGGGTGGTACATATTTGTGCCCCTAACTATATTTATGTGACTCATGAAAGTGGTGCCCATTCGGGAAAGCGGTACGTATTGCAAGTTCAACAGTGTCATAAATAAAAAAAGTAATGTTGAACGCAAACTTATGTAAAAACAAAAACTTGCGTTGCAGAGCACAAAAAATAGTCCTGTTAAGCAAAACATTTTGCGCAAGTTGTCAGAAAAATCATCACAAACAAACACTTGCGATAAATCTGCCGCGTGTCGAAACCGTATACAAATATTCAGGAAGATCGTCACAACTTTCACAATATGGCAACACATTTCAAAGTGCTACAATATTATGCCATTGCCGCGACACGGTTGCCTGAAGATAATTTCTGAAGTAGCACATGTATTCACCCCTGCCCCGCAAAGGGTTAAAAAGCTGAAACTTTGTAAAACTAAGTTATATTTGTCTAGCGATACTTCTTATATGGGTATGCTAATCTTACTCGGCTTACATCTTGCTTCCAGGGAGTACAAACTATAGGAAATGGCTACACACCTTAGAGATTACCCATCTTAGATTGTACAGAAATCAATGATGCATTCAACACATTTTAATGTACCTAAGTACCGCGTTCACTATATGAACGTGTGACCATCTGAGCTTGAGCAAAACTGTAAGATTACACTAAAGCAGAAATCTAGTCGACGAGTTTTTTGCAGATTTACTTGATGGTCGGAATACTACGTGTTCTATATAGGCAATTCATTGGTAGCGTTCTAGCAATGCAAATCAAGGACGACCAATATCACGTCTTTATTTTCTTTTTCTTTTAGTGCGGGCAAGATTTATACGAGTAATGACCATATTCGAAGGTTACACCTTCGAGTATTGTGTAACCTTCGAGGCTACACCGTACTCAACGCTGCCCTGGTACAACTGGCCTTGATTATACGAAGCTTATAGCTCGTGATCTGAGTTTTCACTTGAAACCTGACGCACGTTTATGAGAATAAAAAAAATACAGGTCATCGCGCGACGTACCTAGATAAAACTACAAATAAAACTCGACTCGGCGAATTAAAGACAGCCTATTGCTCCAGTTCATTGCAGTGACTGTGATCTTTTTTTCTTTCACTATTGGTTTTATGCATACATTAATTAGCCGCACGTTCACGGGCATATCCTGTATAAGGCTGCGTTAACTTCATTGTTAAGCTCGATGCGAAAATTCGTTCTCTTTTTTTTTTTTAATTTACTCCCTACGTACTACTGATGATGGGACCAGCGCCGTCTACGAGTCGGGACATTTACATATATAAGGGGCTTCAGGACGGATCCTACTCAGCAGTCGCACCTTCGCAGGCTCGTATACTTCACCATGACTGGAGTAAGTTAAAGTTTACCGCTCGCGGAAAGTAAGATTTGCAGATTTAATCTTGAAATGCAATTTGCTTAAGTAAAAAGGATAATTTCAACTTCACGTGAATGATAGAACTGACTTAAAATTTCAGCAATACGATTAAGGCTTCGCGGGTACTAACATAGCTGGGGTTAGAACTCAATGTATTTCTACTAAACGATAGCAAAAATCAAATAGAAACGACCACTTACCCGTATCTTTTATTCGATTGCAAAAACCTTATACCCAAGCGACTCTCTAATATCTTCAATCAATGTGTACATGTTTGTATCAACCGATATTTATGTAGGGCCTTTGAAAGAGTTGATATAAACTTTTTCTCAACTTAATACTAGATGCATGCGAGAGTTCTCACCTTTTATTTTATATTGCTACTTTTAAATTTGGTGTTTCTAAGGAGTAATTCAGTAGTGGTAATGATACGCAGTCACGGGGTGAAATACATACCCAACTTTTTTAACTTTGGGCATTACCGTTGCATCCTTCTTATCTTTTTTCCCGTTACTACTGATCCATTTAGGAGTAATCAGATTTTGCTGAGCATTTAGATCACGCGTTTTATTGAAACAAGAATTTTAATTTATTTTAGTACGCACTTATAATTTTCTCATCGTTTTAAAGAAAGCAAAAGTGCTTATACAATTTTCAAGGGACTCGAGAAAAATTAAATACGTATTTTCAACTATTTAATTGGACATTGAGAAAACTATCCGCCAAATTTTTGCCACTCCGAGCAAGCAGCTCCAAGGAAGCGCTAAACTTGAATAATTAGAAGGGCGTGCAACCAAAAATGTACAAACTATAAAACTATTCTTTTTCTCAGATGCCGCAAAACGAAAAGCCACAAAACTCATCAGGTTGCCACTTAAAACGCAGGGAGAAAGTGCTTTCACATCCGGAGATTAAATTTCACTTGCAACAAATGCGATTCCTTTATTGCTACGAGGCATTTGGAGTATTTTTGCCTTTCGAGTTCACTTTATTTTAATCTAAATTGTCTATTTAATCATCACTTATTCACAAAAACGCTTTTATTTCGGATGAACATGTTCTTTGCAAAATAATGATTACATTAATGCGCTAATGAAGTATAAGATGTAATTTATGGTTTACGTTTTCCAGCTTCGAGCATGCCTTCTTCTAGCCCTGGCCAGCAGCGCCATTGCTGGTCAAATCCATGGGGGCCTTAGCCACGGCATCGGCCTTTCCGGTGTCGGCTATTCCGGCCTTGGCTACTCTGGACTGGGCTACGGTTCCCTAGGCTACGGGTATGGTCTCGGCTATGGCCAAGCCGTGGGTTTCGGCAACGGCTTTGGCTACTCGGGTCTGACCGGATACACCGTCGCTGCCCCAGCCGTGAGCCGCACTGTGTCCACCTACCACGCTGCTCCAGCTGTCGCCACCTACCACGCTGCTCCAGCTGTCGCCACCTACCAAGCTGCTCCAGTTGCTACCTACCACGCTGCTCCAGCCGTGACTAGGGTGTCTACTATTCAGGCTGCTCCGGCTGTCGCTACTTACGCCGCTGCCCCAGTCGCCACCTACGCCGCTGCCCCAGCTGTCACCAGGGTCACTAGCTACCAGCCAGCTGTCGCCCGTGTGGCTACCTACCAGGCAGCTCCAGCTGTCACCCGTGTCGCTACCTACCAGGCTGCTCCAGCTGTCGCTACCTATGCCGCTGCTCCAGTTGCCACCTACGCCGCTGCTCCAGCTGTGACTAGAGTGTCCACCATCCACGCTGCTCCGGCTGTGGCCAGCTACCAAACCTACCATGCCCCAGCTGTTGCCACCGTCGCCCACGCTCCAGCTGTGGCGAGCTACCAGACCTACCATGCTCCCGCTGTTGCCACTGTGGCTCACGCTCCAGCTGTCGCCAGCTACCAGACCATCCACGCTGCCCCAGCCGTTGCCACTTACGCCCACGCTGCTCCAGTGTACGGATACGGCGTTGGATCCCTCGGCTACGGTGTCGGCAACTACGGCTACGGACACGGTCTTGGAAGCTACGGCCTGAACTACGGTTACGGCCTTGGCACCTATGGCGACTACAGCACCCTCCTCCGCAAGAAGAAGTGTAAGTACATACTCATCTGTATAATGATTTCAAATGCTGTCGGAACAATCAGCTTAACTCCTATTGCATCCAAAGTGTTACTAGCCGGAGGCATGCTGTTTAGAGAAGCTTGTTTTAGAGAACGCCGTTTCACCGACCCCAGTTTATCGAATTATTTCGCATAGAAACCCAGTTTAGAGAAAAATGGCTATGACCCTCCTTTTAGAAAATTCAGCCGGCTCGAAGTGGCGTGTGCTGATGAGTCAGGTGGGTTGACATTTTCGTAATGAGCCGCCACAGACTGTCGCCTCGAAGTGGTGTAAACGCGCGAGCTGAGGGGGGAAAGTTAGCACGAGTTCTACTGTACACACGCAAAGCAGTGGAGCCTTTTTTTAAACAGCGTTCCTTATCTATCAACAGCATTTCTCTAAACTGAAGCTCCGCTTTCTCCACAAGCTTCGATAAAACGTGCTCATTCTCTAAGATGTGGTTCGATAAAATGGTGTGCGGTCAACCGCTGTAAACCCGTTACTAGATTATCTTTTTATGCATTTGTGCTGTACGCCGCTCTATTTCTTTTTTTCAGAAACTCTTATCCGGAGTTAAGCACAAGAAGTCGCCTGGATGCTGGGTTCTCCTGCCAACCACCAAGCACAATAAACATTTTGAAATAAAACACACTAAAAAAACGACATTTCTTTATCGGATGGCTTTGGTTTTGTGTTCAACCCACTTCATAAACGATTTGTTTGAAGAAGTCGCTTTTTGTTGTATGGGGTGCTGACAGTCGGTATTGAGTGTTCCTTGCCCAAACCTTACAAACCGTCAGCTTCGCTGCTTGAAAAACAAGTGACTCTTCATGCCTTCATTTTTTTTTTCATTTTGAAAATCACTCTACTTTTTAGTTCCCCCTAATCCCCAATGTCTTCGTATCCCTATAAAAATATAACAGAACAAGATGAAAAGTTACGATCACGCCGATGTCTCAGGAAAATTCGATTGTGCCATTTTGATTTTTTATCTTGTAACGTATTTTTATGTTACAATATCAGCTTCGTAACACGGTTATAAAGCCTATATCAAACTGGATCACTTTCACTGATTTACATTGAAATGTAGAAATATTAGTAGACCTCAGTGCAAATGTTGGAGTATTTATTTTCTCGAATTCGCCCGGAAATCGTTGGCGCGGCTCTTTTTCAAAGGATGCCCCACCAGTCGCCGCAGAGCATGTCCCGACGGGCCCGCCGATGTTTTCGTCGTGCACGCGGCCCTACCCGGACATGTAAGATTTCGACTCCTGGCAACACCCGGACTCAGGAACGTCACGTGATACCTGCTTCTTCGGATGGCTACATAAGCCCACCACGCGGGACGGCCAGTTGGGGCATTGCATGGCTCGAAATACAACGATGCAAATCCTGTTTATGTTTCGTGTTAGTTCTCTCTAAAATGTCGCCTGATATATTAGCGATGATTTGTGTTTGCTAGTGAAGTCGTGCCCCTATGACCTGTCTGACTATAATGCATGTCATCGTGTTTCTTGTTTATGAGAAATAGTTTATTTTACAACCAGCAACATGGTTTTCGTAGAGAATTATTATAATCTGTTTACTATATTGTTGATTTGTTACATTTTTCTTTCCTTTTATGCGCTCTCCCCCTATGTTAATGCCTTCGGGCCCTGAGGGTACAATAAATAAACTGGAAAAACTCTACAAAACGTTGGCGTCATAACCTTCAGTTGAGAGTGCGCTTCGTCTCTGTCCCCTTCTTCGTCCTTGTTTATTCTGCGCTTTCCATTCGAAGATGAGAAATCGGTATTCACGAATGCTTTCTTAAGTGAGGGAAGGAAAGCGAGTTCTCGTACGGAAAAGCTAAAAGTTCCGGTGTATCTCAAACTCCCGATCCCCGCGAGAGCTGGCTGTTGCCATAGCGACGGCGTCCCCGGCAACATCAAACACCAATTGGAGAGCTCGGCATGGTTGGGAGCAGTTCGCAGCATGTGGATTTTTAATAACAAACAGAGGCGGCCTTTCTGCCACCACTTGTCTGGGGTTTGTGTACGTACAGTGATATGTCGACGCTAACGTGAATTAAACACGCACGAATGCCGAGGCTGTGATAACCGCCTTCGTTGACTGCTACGAACTTGATCGCTACGAAGTCAAAACAAGTGTCATCGTTGCTAAAAGAAGATAGCCCGTGCCAGTCGTTTGCAAAGCGGCGTATATAGAAAAAAATCGCCGCGGCGTTTTCCGCGGCTTCGGAGGTGCAGGAGCGAGCCGACGTTAGAGGAGATACGTTTGAACTACGAGAGTGTCAGCAAGAGCCACGTAAATACCCGTTCACACTCGGAGCGTACGCGCACGTTTGATCAAAGTGTTGGATTCGCGCTGTTGGGCCGCGCCTTGCCATGAGGTTCGGGATCAATCTTTTACGATTGCAACTCGGTACTGACGTGACACTCGGCAAAGAAAGGCTGGACCGGCATCGCGTAGCTCCCACGAACTGTTATAGCTCAACAGTGACGTACCGTCATACCATAATAAAGATGGCATACTAATAACAAAGTGTGCATATATACCGCGTTGCAAAGGTAAATTATACGGCGTTTATTTGAATCCTACATGCATCACACAAAACAAGGAGATAGAGTCGATGATAGTCCCTTTTCCATGACAGCGTTCGTCACCGCTGCGTAGGAAAACAAGGAGATGACAAGGGGAGAAGATTGATCTAATCTAAAATTGAAGTCAGCGATGAAACTATTAATACAGAAAGGGTACACAAGGGCCGCGAGGGCATATTCCATTTAGCAAGCCAGCCGGTTGTGGGCTGACGGTCTTTGCGAAGGACCGTCGTACCAACGCTGCGTCGGTGGAAGTCCGAGTTACTGCAAGGCCTGTATTCTGCCAAGCTTGGTCAGTGGGATCATTGCCGTTGTAGCTTTTCCCGGGTGGATCCAGCGTTCATGTTCGTCGTGGCCGGTTTCAATTACTTTTTTTTTTTGCTGCTTGAAGTCGGGATGCGCGAGAAGCGAGCACGTAGAAAAAAAAATTATGTTGGTCGTCGTGACGAAGTAACTGAGCGACGATGTCGGTCATGTTGATTTGATCGTAAAAAGTGCGCAAGACAGCTCCGGAGCTGTTCTAAGATTCCATCGTAACGTAAGCTAAAGTTGCGATAATTTCGTTTCGTAAATACAAACTTGTTTTTACGTTTTGTCGTACGCACATTTTTGGCGTAAGATCGTTGCGTGAATCTGGCCTCCGGTGTTTTTCTTTTCTTAATACTTGTAGTTACATATTTGAAAAGTTTTCTTATTCACAGATGTCTCAACCAAAGCTCGACCTGTTCAGAACCAAAGGAAGAAGAATATTGATCAAAACCCCATTTATTATTTCATTATCACCTTACTAATACCATGTTTTGCTATGGTCTGGCAATATATGCCGGACAATAGCAAATATCTAAGATGTGCATAAATCAATTCTTATTTCAGTTTTGGCTAGTTGTATTACGAGTTCTACAGCTTCGTGACATCCACAATAGAAAATTTCAGTAGATTGTTTCGATGAATCCGGTAACGATACTCGATACCCCGCCGCTGTCTTTGCGCATGCATCATATCGTTATCGGGTATCGTTATCGGGGGTATCGGAGGTATCGGAAAGATCTACTAAAACTCTCAGTTATCAGGTAATGGCTGCAACAACGAAGCTTTGCTGAATCTTCGAGGTAAATAGCACTTTCATTGCTTCGCTGAAGAAGCTCAATGTAGAGGATGAAGCATTCGTGAGGCACGGTATGGCACTCCCATCCAGCGCTTCAGTTCAAATGGTGTTCAGCGTAGCAGTCGACATCTTCACTAAGAAATGACGCAAAATGGCTGACGAGGCTTTCGAGAGCCAGGTGTTGCTCAAAATGAATAAAAACTTGAATAACTCTCTTCTGTTAGGAAAGTAATGTTGGAAGTAACGCCACTAAAGTAACGGATTACGTTTTGGGGTAACGGTCACTTACTTTTTATTAGAGAATAATTGTAATTAATTGCAATTTAGCTTGGAGTTAATGTAAATGTAATTCCTTACTATGTTCAGTAACGTGTACATGCTTGGTGTAGAACTTCATTGGACGTTAACCAAAAAAACTTTATTTTGCATTGATATCGACTATTAGCGTATTGCAAAACTCCAGGTGGAATGCAAGAAAAAAAGTTAGAACTGAGATAAATTCAGCATACATAACATTTTAGTTATCGATAACTTTTTTCTGCATGCACTACCCGACAGATTTGTAGCAAGCATTCTAAAAAGAATATTTTTTTTTAGGTAATAGTTGGCAAGCAGGAAGGTACATGAAAACACACCGGGATAAAATCATATTAATGTTAGAGCTGCATTTGATGCCTCTACATATAATTAGATTATAAACGACACCAATTATTCACTAGAAAATATAATAAAGAAACGACAAATTTGAATATTTTTTTAATTAGGCAATAATGTAGTGCCCATTTTAGATTTTGTCGGCATGTGCACGTCACCGGACAACGTAGTTTGAAGTAACTTCAGATCGTGGTCAGCCACAGCTTATGGGAAAAAATATTTGATTGCCGCAAACATCGTTTCTACATGGCAAAGTACACAAAACGCATATTCATAAACACATGCACCATCGCCTTCTGGAATCATTTTTTTGATCAGCTTTATTTGCTCACTTCATCAAGGAAGAACCAAGTATTATACCGGGAACGTTCATTAAAACTCAGATGCGTTTCTAAGTTTCATGGCTTTCGCCAGATGTGGCTGTCAGCAATTGGAAATACAATGTAAAGTTTTCATAAATTTATATAACTGCTGCGGGTCCTTCATCCATCACTTTTGATTGACAACATTTTAATGTTACCAATCAATGATTGAAATATCCACTATAGTCGGTTACAAGTTAAGAAGGTAGGAGAAGCTCTTCCCACAAACGTGATGCGCCGGTTTCAAATCCCTCCGCAGTAGAAAGAAGAGTTCACTGGAAACGCTCTTTGTTCCGCTTCAATGGATAGATATTGGCTACAGAGTGATGCCAACTTGTCTCCGATCCCACTTTTAAGAAAGCGACCTTTGTATTTATAAGAGGGGGAACCGAGCCCCTGAAAGCAGCCTTTGTATCCATCAGAGGGGGAACCTAATCCTTGAAAGTCGTATTTGTTTCCACTGGAGGGTGAAAACTCTAATCTTTCTCTCGTGGCTTCCACAATGCTAAGTCAAAGTCGAAAGATAAAGCAAATATGTACAGAAAGGCAAGACCCTCCTCGCGCGTTGCCCGCGACGTCACGGAAACGGTGGGACGCTACTGGATGTGGAGGTGGCGGAGGGATATGTGATTTCCTTTGAGGGGCATTTGCCGCTACCTTCTTGACTTGTGACCTACTATAGTATCATTGCACCCTCTTGTATTAAACCATCGAACTACTGCAGGAAGCTGCTCTCTTGCTGCAGGGACTCCCGATACTCCTGCCATATAGATTATAGATAGGGCTCCGTGTTTTCTGAGTTTATTTTTCGTCAAGTTCGGAGGGTGTTTTTCGGAGTTTATTTTTTGCCGAAGATTCTGAGTTTATCGGATTTTATATTTGTTTGATTCCCAATTCGCCGAAATTCGGAGTTTAATTTTGTAGTGTTTCCTATTGAAAATAAATGTAAATATTAACCGGATGTAAACGTACGCCAGATAAAAGACAAAACGCGCTTGTATCGATTAAAATTTCTTCAGTTGAATTTGCCGTTCGTGCCATTACCATTGGCAATATTAATTTGTCCCGCGACAAAAGTCGCACACGAGTGTTGCTTCGATAAACGTCGATACGCTGAAATCAATAAACTCCCGGGGGCAATCTCTAAAAAGCTCGTAGTTATCCCATCCTATTCCATCAATCTAGCCCGCGGCCGCGCGAGGTGGAGTGGTTAACGATGTAATAGAGAGTTTTAACTGTCCCTTTTCTCTATTTAATACAATCTCTATAGTCCATAGCTTTCACTGTTACCAAAACATACCTTCTACTTTTTCTAAAACACAAATCGCATGGCTCAAACTGGAAACCAAAAGAGTGACTTTTGTCTTGACCCGAATATACGATGTCCTGTTGCACTGAGTCAACCTCGACGAGACAAGCGGCAAGACCCCCTTTGACAACGGTGTGAGATTTGAAAGATAATTATGGTGCCATTTTCCCCGAACCATTGACTCCGTGCAAACCAAATTCTAAAAAAAAAGAAAAAAAAAAGACATAAACATTCGGAGTTTATCGGATAAATCCGAATTGACCAAAATTTAACCGGCGGGTGTTTTTCGGACTTTTTCGGATTTATCCGAAAACACGGAGCCCTAATTATAGATCGTGTTTGCGGTCTCGGAGATTTTCACGTGAGGTTTGTGTGGAAGCATCATGATATTTGAAGTATTTAATAAAAATGCAAGGTAATAAAAAATCAAAAGTGTCTTTTTTTATGCCATTTGCGCATCCAAGGAGCTAGCTCTTATAGCTATTGACTATAGTTATGTCTCGTTTATACGGTCACCTCTGTTCCACGAAAATATCGTCCATAATGTGAATTGTCAATAATAACGAGACAAAAATGCATGTATTTACCCAGTTCATCTCCGATATTTTGTTCATATAGCGGTGTATTCATATTAACGGTGTCCGTATTAGCGAGAAATTACTGCACAGGGAAAGTTATTTCTTCTAATGCATCCCGTTCTCATGTACCCGAGAAGCGTGGAACAATTATTGTCATTTCTCCCGACCAAACGTCATTATAAATCAATTATCTGTGCAATGAGCACACAAAAAAACTAATGCCGCCAAAATTAATTTTTTTAACACAGATCGATTTCAGGTGCCTAGAAAAAACTCTCTAATGCCCTAATATTTTCTAATTTAGTCTGATGAATCTGTATAACCAAACTGCGAAGAGCTGTTTAGTATTATTTTCTTGACAGCAGCGTTAAGCGCAGGGGAAGCATAAATTGTTAAAAATTAATATATTTATATTTTCACGAAAAAACAACACAAACCCATTGAAAAGCGCCTAATGTACGCCAGGAGCGCTTTCCTTTTACAGACACCTTATGGCAGGAAATAGGACTGCAACAGAAGATTGTGCAAATACAACCATCTAGCGGGTGCTGTGACAGTATAATTAAATCTAGTGTTGTAGCAATCGAGGTTTTGGTTCAACTTTTAGCAAACAGAACGCAAGGGCGCAAGTGAGCTCGTGTTTACTAAATATTTTGAAGCAACCCGAGACTAAGGGATACGAAAGTTGGGGGAGGGGTGGGGGGGGGGGGGGGGGGACACAAAAAAAAGAAAAAAAAAGAAGGCGAACGTCTGAAACACAGCTGTGTTTGACACGTTCTCGTTCTTCTCTCGTGGTGTCAACTTTCGTACTCCTCAGTCTGGGGTTGCTTCAAAATATGGTTCAGTTCATTTAATTTTAGGCGAAGGTTCACCGAATTTAGAATTTCTCAATTACTACTTTTTTTATATATACAATGGCATCTAGCGCTATAGAACCTGACTTGACGGAACTTCCCTTGAATACACGAATCTCGATAGCGTGTGATTTGCATTTTCGATGGAAACGAAAAGCACGTCACACGGTAAAATTGAATTTTCCCCATACTAGTATTAAAAAAAGTGATACCAAGAATCAACGATGTCTTGTAAAACCAGTTCAATGCAGTGAGTGTTACGATTTTTTTGTGTTAACTGCCAGTTTTAGGCAGGCAATAATTATCAGCGCGTACTCTTCCAAGGCTGCGAAACCTCATTGTTAACCGCAGTGGGAAAAGTCGCTCGCTATTTTATTTTTATTGCGCTTTACTTTATTTTATCAGCCAGAGCCGTTCAGTATAAAAGGGCTTTCAGGACAGACCCTCTTCAGCAGTCAAACCTTCGTGGACTCTCATCATTCACCATGACCGGAGTAAGTGCCTTTCTCGTGCTCTCGGGTGGTAAAATTTGCGGCTTATAATTGAAGATTAAGGTCCCCCAAGAAACAGGGCGTTATGAACTTCTATTCTGACATGAAACTATCCTAGGGATGGAAGTATTATATTGAAGGCCTTACTCACCGTTCAATGTATATTTATCCTAGGAATCTACATATCTGTAGAAACGTAAAAAAAATACTTGAGGAGATACGAATGATTGACGCGTTTCTTTTGTTTACTTGCAACGAACCTATGACAAATTACTCGTTGAGTACATTGGTTTGTGTGTAGAACCTTCTGCACGTTTGGTTTGAGATGACATGTTGTGTGGCGGTGAAATTTAGGAGGAACAGGCTGCATAGGGAGACGCCGCTCAGCCGGCGTCTCCCTGTTCAGATACCACAATAGCTGCAACCAAACTGCAAGCTGACGATAACTTTTGAGCGCTGTGTACGCGAAAGCAGATACCGTGTCTTAGTGTTCCGGTATTGAATGTCTCATGTTTTATGGGAAAATCTGAGAGAGAATTAGGTTTACCACTTAATCAACTTGATCTTTAGACCCGATGAGGAGGATCACCAAATCGCTGTGCAGCCGTAATGAACTAACATTTAAAAAAAAAATACGTGGAGCTTAATTGAACACTGGATTATAATCGCATATATTTTACATAATAAGATCGCAATAACATTCTGCGGAATACATTTTCAAATAAACAACATGTATAGGCTTAAGTCGAGCTATTTCGTAAAGATTAGTGATGACATCACTGACAACGTGCATATTTCATTTTTAAAGCTTACTTTTTTTTTAATTTGTCTGGTGGAAATTCTTACATAGTCCGGGTCCCGGTTGGAGCAGCTGTGCAAGTTCCACACGGTTCCAGCCTCCCAACCCCATAAGAAGTGCACTTTTATGTCATTGGGCCGTAGGTAGTGTAATGGAATTCGCTATAATGAGATTAGATTGCAGTTAGCCGCGCATATCTCACAGAACAACTTTATCTTCAGCTGAGGCTTCAACGAGAATGATCAGATTTTGTGTCGACGTTACCAACACGCGGCGCTTAGTCGCGCAAGTACGGCTCTTCGACTATTTCAAGCAGTTAGGTTGTACCGCGTTGAAGCCACAAAGTGCGAAAGCTCATGACCAAGATGGATTATGCCCATTCTGAGACCAAAAAGCGCCATCAGGGCGACATATATTCCAAAACGTGCTCTTTTTTTTCTCACGCTGCATTTCGAGCCCTTGTTAGCTAAAGAAATTTAGAACCGAAATAAAGCGATAAGTGTATAATGCAACTCTTGCATCTTCATTTATAACTTACGAATCGCATTGATTACATTTCACAGATTTCTGAGGTTGCGTTATGTGTTTGTCTGCTTTTGTTTAGTTCAATATTCCGTTAGACTTACAAAATCGAGATGTCAAAGCAAAAACCTCACACGAATGGAAATGAAAGCAGATAAGACTTGTTTAGCGGAATCGAAGTTTTATTGAAGAACCTGGAGCGTGTTAGAGAGGTGCTAAAAATATGAAAAACCTGGAAATCGAATACTTTCCCCAATACAAAGTACACCGGACTTGTTTTAGCAGCTGAAGATAATCTTGTGTTCTGCTACTTCTACAGTAACGATCACTTCTTAGTTACAAGAAACATAACGCGGTTATTTCTATCGAACTTACGTTGCTTATTTTTTTTATTTATGCATTTATTAATTACCTATACACAGAACAGCAGAACTTACACTGCCTTTCACTTTTATAATAATGTACACTTTGGTGCTAATTAGTTTAAATAATGTAGGATAATATTTGGTTTACTCCTTACAGCTTCGTGCCTGCCTTCTTTTGGCCCTGACCAGTAGCGCTTTTGCTGGTCTCCTCCATGGCGACCTTAGTCATGGCGTCGGCCACTATGGCATCGGCCTCTCAGGCGTCGGCCACTCCGGGCTGGGTTACGGTTCTCTCGGCTACGGTCACGGCCTCGGCTACGGTCACGGCCTCGGCTACGGCCACGCCGTCGGTTTTGGCAACGGTTTTGGCTACTCTGGTCTGACCGGTTACACTGTTGCTGCTCCTGCCGTGAGCCGTGTCGTTTCCACCTACCACGCCGCCCCAGCCGTCGCCACCTACCACGCCGCCCCAGCCGTCGCCACCTATCACGCCGCTCCAGCTGTCGCCACCTATCACGCCGCTCCAGCTGTCGCCACCTACCACGCTGCCCCAGCTGTCACCAGGGTCACCACCTACCAGGCTGCTCCTGTTGCCACTGTCCACGCTGCTCCAGCTGTGGCCAGCTACCAGACCTACCATGCCCCAGCTGTCGCCACCGTCGCCCACGCTCCAGCTGTGGCCCGCTACGAGACATACCATGCTCCAGCTGTCGCCACCGTCGCCCATGCCCCAGCTGTGGCCACCTACCAGACCTACCACGCTGCCCCAGCCGTCGCCTCTTTCGCCCATGCTGCTCCAGTCTATGGATACGGCGTTGGATCCCTCGGCTATGGTGTTGGCCACTATGGCTATGGTCACGGCCTGGGAAGCTACGGCCTGAACTACGGCTATGGGCTCGGCACCTATGGCGACTACGCCACCCTTCTCCGAAAGAAGAAGTGTAAGTACAGTATCGGTGACAATTTATTGTTAAATGTTACTAACAAAAAAGCAATCATATTCGTGCTACATTCATTACTTGGCCAATATATTGTCATTTCCTTTATTGGGGTTGTCTTTTTTTTCTCCTTTCAGAAATCTTGCACGGAAGCCAAATGTTACCCGAGGTTGCTGTGATGCTCATTCTGTCTGACCACCAAGAAGTACAATAAATATTTTGATATAAATCACGTGCAGTGTACTTTTCGCGATAATTTTGGTTGATGATAGCCTACCCTACACTGGCTTTTCAAAAAGCTGACCACTGCTTGCCTGACGTATGTTGCTCCTGTTATGAACTAGTACGTTAACATGCATTTGCAACGTCCGGCAGCTGCCAAAGGCACAGTTAAAATATTTTCCCTAGAAATGATCAAAAGTGGGCCTAAACTTTATTATGTAACACTTCAACGCTCAAGAGAAGTCAGATATAAGGGAATTAACTTTTCTAACGAAAGCACCCAAACTGTAACCTACTGCGTTTGGCGTATGTACAAATAATGCCGGTAGTTAGTTACTTCTGGTAATTAATGTTTTTATGTGAAAATGAATATCGGAGCTTATCGTGCACGGCGGCCTTCCCCACATTCGGTGAACAATCTGCAGGAACGAACAAGCGGACAAGTTATCCGATGAAGACATGAAAGAGGTTATGCGTGTTTTTGAAAGACTGTGTTTAAATATTACGAGCTTTGAGATTCTGAAGTGAAATCAAACTATACACTTGATCATAATGTTTTAATATCGCATTTCTGTAAGCATCTCAGGGTGGCGCACAAGGCTTCTTAAGGTTCGTGCATTTTCACGTTCCTGTCAGAAGCACGCATGTCTCAAGAGTGATATTTGGGATAGCGCCCGTTGCCGGGGGAGCACTGTCGGCCACCAGCTCAGAATGGAAAAGGGCATGTATGTCTAACAGCTTCAGTTTTCGTTGTGAGTCTCACTGCACCAGAAATGGTTACGGAGTGTAAGAGGTAATCTTACGAGTAATTCAATGTAACCTATTATTTGCACATATTTTCTACTACACGGTATCGTTAGAGTCCTGGAGTAAGTAAGTTTAGGTGACTTTCAGATTCACTTAGATTGATTGAGAAATATTTATTCTCTTTATGCACGATTAGTATAACCAAATACCTCGTTTTTTCGGTAAAACTATGATGCTCGTAGCGCGTTTTCGACTGGCGTGATTGTCTCGTCCTTAGAAGCGTTCTCTCGATTTCCGCCTGAGGAGGTCATAAAAGTGTAATGCTCTTGACCGTCGCAATTCCGAAGGTGTCCGAGGTGTAGAGCGGGATGTGACAGACGCCTGTTCTGCTGCAAGTAACCCTGCAACGAGACAGTTGATGGAAATAAAGGCAAATACGAGCTGGGACGCCGCGGCGACAGCGTCCCTAGCGTCCTTTCACATTTTTTCTTATAAATTTTACAATCAAACGCTAGGGTCTGCGACATCTCGCAATGTGAACGCCGGCTCCGGTGACGTCATTTGTTGCACCTTCAGGGTTCACTGTCGATGCATGCGCGGAATAGGACGGCAAACACAGCAGTCGAAGACGCGTTTTAGGAACGATAGTATAGCCTACCTTAGCACTCACACACGCCGATTAAATTAACAATTTTCCACAGAAGTTTAGAGACCACAATGTATTTTTTTTCATCTATAACTATTCACTTCTTACCTATGACATTGGTAATACCGTTTTCCTGGGGTAGGGATATTGATAAAGTAATACAAAACGCCACATGTTTTTTTTTAATTATTTTGAAGGATGGAATGGCAACTGGGTATGCGCAAGGGTGAGTCCGCGTTCTCCTATAGTGAACAGGGAGTTTTCGTAATCGTTTTCGCCGTCCCGCAAGGCCCTCCGCAATCCGATACGATAGCGGGAACTCCACAGTTAAGGCTATCGGCGCGCAGGCGCAGTGGGAACTTCTTCGTTGCGGAACGCTTAGCGGAGGGGGCAACGCGGTCTACGAAAACCCCCTAATAAAAGTGCCACTATATGCTGCGTCTCAGTCACCGTGTTTAACGAAGCATCATAACTAGCACAAGATACGTCCGCAAGACACGTAAAATTACGTGTATACGTTGCTTATACTGGTCTGACACGCCGTCTAGCAATTATATGGCCATTTTTACCATTGTTTAAGGAGGAGCATCCGCTAGAAGGAAACGGAGTAGCAAGTATGGTATAGCTTTGAGACAAGTTTATTTATATTCTCTGTGAGTAGGTTGTCAGTGAGGCAGTTATCTTTCACGCAGGTAAAATGAGGGCAAGCCCGGAATAAGAAAGTACTTTAAGTCAAGATTGAGTGCAAGTCAAAATGACTTAAAATATACTAATTATTTTCTCGGTCCCGAAAAGTATTAGGACATGCAGAGATAACATTCGCTTATATCGACTGCTTGCTTTTGTTTTCTTCCGCCTGATGCGAAAATCGGAACAACATATTGCTTTTTTTGGAGCGACGACAAGCCCGTAGCGTGGCCCACTTTTGGCCGATTTATCGAGCCAGAAGTTTGTCGGCAATTTTTTCATTAATACATTACTCCGTAGGCTAGTTGGCTAATTGTACACCACTAATAAATATTATTGAAAACACACCAGTGCGTCGTCAACAGGCAAATGATCAGGAGGTTCACTGAGTTTGGCAAATCTTTCGAATGTATTCAACGCTGACGCCTAAGCGAATTTGAGCATGCTATGTTGGTCCGCGACCCAGTTCTCTGCTTTTATTTTGCCTGGTGTGTATTTTAATGCAGTCTGGTGATGTGGAACTTAATCCTGGACCAGTAAGTGCCGAGTCTGCTAAACTGGATGCTATCATGCAGTCTCTTGATCTTCTGACAAAATCAACTCATGAGTACCAAACTGATAACACTTTGAGATTAAACCGGATTGAGGCAGGTGTTTCGCAGATTCGGCAGAGAGTAGATTCGCTTGAGGGTAGGGTCACTGAACTCTCCAAGGCTACCGAAGGTATTCCCTCACTGAAATCGGACCTTGAATTTGTGAAAGCTGAACTTGGGCCTGTTGCGGAACAACAAAAACTTGTTGAAGAATTATCAGCAACCACAGACGACCTTAACAACCGGCTACGACGAAACAATATTATCATCAAAGGGATCGCGGAAGAATCCACTGAAATCCCTGAACAGCTAGAGACAACCGTCAGAACGTTCCTCTCAGATAATCTAAACGTGACGCCTGGCGTTTTTGAACGTATTCACCGCTTAGGGCAGAAGCGTCAGGATTTCCATCGACCTATCATCATAAAGCTCTTGGACTTCCGGGACAAGATGGCTGTATTCAGAAACGCTCCCAAGCTAAAAAAACCTTAACATTAAGGTATGGATAGAAAACGACTATTCTCCGAAGATACGCCTCGCACGTGGCAAGCTTTGGGAATACGGCTCTACGTTTCGAGCGGACAGGATGAGAACCAGACTTGTGCACGACAAATTGTACGTAGGCGATAAGGTGTTTGTTTACGACGTTCAGAGCGAAAGTGTGATTGAAAAACACTGTGTCAGCGGCACGCGCCCTTGACTACCTCCCGCAAGGTCACCTGATCATGCCTCCCATGCACACCAACTTTCATTTTTGTTCACAAACTTTCGCAGCATTTTTAATAAACAAGATATTTTACTTGATCATGTGCGCATGTGCAATTCTCAGATTATTTTAGGCACAGAGACATGGCTGAATAGTAACGTTCCAAGTGAACTGCTTCTTGATTCAGATTTTTCTATATACCGTAAAGATCGTACTCATCGCAGAGGAGGGGGCGTTTTGATTGCTATTAAAGGTTTAGAGTCTGCTGCTGTGACAGTCACTACTAATCTTGAACTTCTATGGGTTGAAATTAAAATATCGTTTCAAAAATTTGTGCTGGGAGTGTGTTATTGCCCCCCCAACTCTGGAAGAGATTTTGTTGATGAACTTGGCACCAGCTTGGAAAAAGTGTTTTTGACTTATCCTGACAACATTATTATCCTAGCAGGAGATTTCAACTTTCCCGGCATTAACTGGGCGGACAGTTCTGTCGTTCCTTCATGTAGTAACCCCTTAGGGTGTTTAGAATTTATGCACCTGCTTTCTGCATTTGGACTTCATCAACTAATTGCTCAGTTAACACGTGGCGATTCAACATTAGACTTGTTTTTTATTACTCATCCTGAACATATCTCTTCCATACATTTCCTATCGCCGATTAGTGATCATGCCCTCATAGCCATCAGTCTTTCACAAAAGGTACCAGACAAAGAGAAGACCTCGAAAATCATTTGGGACTACCCTAAGGCAAATATAGAGGATCTGAATTCCGCTCTCCTCCGGGCATTCGTAGACTTCGAAAACTCCTTCAATGACCGTTCAGTCGAGGTCAATTGGACTTTTTTCAAGGACACACTGCTTAGCTCCGCGAACCAGTTAATTCATAAAAAGATACTTACCTCAGACTCATCTCCCCCCTGGTTCTCAGTGAAAATAAAGCGCATTTTAAATAAGAAAAAGCGTTTATACCGCAAGGCTGTAAAGTTAAACACTGATGAAATTTGGCTTCATTTTCACGCGTTTTCCAAAGAGTGCAAACGCGTAATCCAGTCAGCGAAACATGTTTTTTAATGTTGACCTAAAAAAGGTACTAACTGAAAATCCCAAAAAGTTTTGGTCTATAATTAATCCTACACCCAGGGGCGCCAAACTTCCTACCGTAGATCCACAAGATAGCCCATTATCATCCGCGGTAATTGCCTCCAATTTTAACGCGTATTATGGTGAGATATTTACACGCGAAACTTTTCCAGAACCTTGCCTATCTAGCATCGAAAGCCCAACGGTCATGCAGGATATTTACCTCTCCATAGACGGAATTTCGAATGTTATTGATCGACTCCCTGTGAACTCCTCACCTGGCTGTGACGGAATTAACTCCAGACTCTTAAAAATAACGAAATATACTTCCGCCAAATTTCTGCTCCTTATTTTCGAGCAATCCCTAGCTTTCTCCCAATTGCCGTCCGATTGGCTAAATGCTAACGTAGTTCCCATCTTCAAATCAGGTAATCCGAATGAGTTAAAAAATTACAGGCCCATCTCACTGACCAGTGTGTCATGCAAAATTTTAGAGCACATCGACTTTAGCAGCATAATGTAACATCTCGATAGTAACGATTTGTTGTTCT